TTTTTGGTACAAATAGGTTATCACTATGTTACCCAGACAGATCTTGAATCCTGGGCTCCAAGGATCCCACCTCAGCTTCCCAAAGTGCTGGGATTGAAGATCCATCTGGGTAACATGGTGATAACCTGTCTGAAATTTAAACTCAAATATACCAGCATTTCTGTTAACTTTCTAAGAAGCAAAGAGTCAAGACACAAGACAAACATATCAAACTGGGCTGAAAAATTATACACTGCTTACAGAGGAACTCATGAACTGTCTTCACACAGGTAGGTGGAGAGTAAAGGGATGAAGAAAGCAACAGCATGCAAAAGATAACCATCAGGAAAGAGGCAGAAAGCCACCTGGAGCCCAGACCATCAGATTCCTGACCGCTGGGGAGCAGCAGGGCCACTGCGGAGCTCACCTCAAAGCTCAAGGACACAAGGACTGACAACCACCAAGACACAGAAAACACTCCTCCTGCACCCATGGGAAGGCTAACCAGGGCCCACAGGAGTCTCCCTCTGGGAAAGAGGCACAGGCATGAAGACACAGCTCCCGCAAAGCCGAGGGTCAGAGGCAAGCCCTCAAGCTCAGGATGAAGCAGGCATGCAGAAACACCACAAGCAGCCCCTTGGCACGCAGGAAAACCACAGCAGCAAGAAAGCTTAGGCTCGACCCAGCTCATGCCTGCAGTGACTCAACACCCCCTCCCACAAGCCACCCAGCTCCCCAAAGCCTTAACAGAAGAAGAGTTGACACTGTTTTCAGGCATAAGTATGCCTTCCTCAGTCTCTCCTGTCCTATTCCGCCCGTCAGCCATCAGCCCATACCCCCCACGCACCCACCCCAGTCCTAGGCAAGCATTCATCTATTTATCTCTGTAGGCCACGTGTTTTTTTTTTGAATGCTGTACTGGACTGAAGAGTGTCCTCTCAAAATTCACATACACTCACAACCTGTGACCGTGACCTTACTTGGAAACAGGATTTTGGCACAGGTAATCATGTTATGATGTGGCCGTACTGAATAGGAAAGGTTCTGAATCCAAGGTGACTGGTGTCCCTATAGAGAACGGGAACTCTGGACACACAGATGCACAGGGTAAAGGCAATGTGACAACTGAGGCAGGGATTAGAGTTATGAGAATTATGCTGCCACAAGCCAAAAATATCAAGGACTGCTCACAACACCAGAAGCCATGAGACAGGCATGGAGCGGATTCTCCCTGAAAGCCTGCCCCCCCAGGAAGGAAGCCACTCAGCTGGAACCTGGATAATAGACTCTGGCCTCCTGAAGTGTAAGAGAACAAACTTCTGCTGTGTTATGCTATAGTTTATGATCATTTGTTATGGTAGTCCTAGCAAACTAACACAAATTCCATAAAACTAGAAATAAACTATCTATAGAAATCTAATAAATAGTGGCAATTTCTTCAAAAAAGTATCATACAGAAATTCCATGAAATAGCATGAATCTCACAAATACAATGCTGAAAACAGAGGCCAGACACAAAAGAATACATACTGTGTGATCCCATTAATATAAAGTTTAAAAAACAAGACAAAAGTAATTATGCTGCTTAGGTATGTATTATTCAAAGGAAGAACGATATGAAAACTGAAGGTTCTAAGAAGTCAGTCAGATAGGTGACAGTTCTAGGGAAGATGGAGAGGGAATCAGAATCGGTAAGAAGAAGAAAATGAGGCTGAAGTAAAAAGAGCTGGCTGCTTTGTAAATATTTCTAGACTCAGTGGTGTTTATGATTTTTGCTTTATAATATGTTCAATTATGCATCTGTGTTCTATTAATATTTCTGCATAGTTCACAATAGTTTCTTTTATTTCTTTAAACAAAAGAAAAAAGGAAAGAAGAAAGGAAATAAAGGCACCAGTTACAATGCCAGTAGCTTCCTGAGATTTGGAAGTATGTCCCCCAATGTCAACAGTTCCAAGGGCAGCCACTTGATTCTCAACGTCCTCACTGGGCAGAGGTGGCAGTTCCTCTGGGAGCCTAGCTGGGTGGTACAGCAGTTGGAGTCACTCCCAGAAGATCACTCTGGGTACCCTTCCTTCCTCCATCCTTCCAAATCACTGAATCACTTCCTATTTATACTATCTAGAGGAATTTCTCTTAATAGCACATACACAGACAAATACAGTTCATCTAGAAAGGTTCAAGAAAAAAAACAAAGTGGTATTACCAACATAAAGTATTAACAGTGACAAAGCAGAGGTTTAGATATTGAACTTTAGAGGGATGCTTATCCATCATTCCTAACAGATGTCTTAGCACAAGCATAAAAACTAAATCTTTATTTAACAGTTTATGGAGTTAATTTTTTAACTTTTATAAAACAAAAAGAGGTGGAGAAGAAAGGGTAAAGTACAGCGGCATGGAGAGAAATAAAAAACAGTTGTTGTTACCTGGAGTCTTGTATTCATTTCCAAGAAATAAAAGTTCTTCTTAGAGTCCACGAGAAACTCTACGGTCCCAGCAGAGGAATATTTCACCGCTTTGGCAAGAGCTACAGCTTGTTCTCCCATTGCTCTTCGAGTCTCCGCATCCAAAAAAATGCTACATATACAAAAAGAATATGTGTTTACATTTTGGACAAAAATCAGCTTACCTTTTGTGTGCATTACATAAATGTTTTCTTAAAATTTACTCAGATATAGAGTAAATCATATATCAGTTTAAGAATTCAAAATATTATATGCTTTATATATGTTTTATAATATGTTGACTATACTATTAAGCCTAACATGCTTAAATAAGTCAACTTTATATTTTTATAAAACAAACATTTGAACTTTTCACATTACACTGCAACTTCAATCCATTTACAAAATATATAACTACTCCTCATTTACAAAATAAATAACATACTCTTCACATGTTGTAATATTTAGCATATATATTCAGAATTGCTTGGAGTCAAAAAGAGAAAAATAACTTCTTAGAAACTAACATACACAATCAATCCTCATTGTTCATGGAGTTCATATTTACAAATTTGCCTACTTGCTGAAATTTATCTGTTACCCCAAAATCAATGCTTAAGGAGTTTTCATGGTCCTTTGTGAGCAAGTGCAGAGAGGTGAAAAATCTGAGATGCCAGCATGCTAAGGTTGAACACGGTGACGTTCTTCCTTCTTGTTTCAATGCTCATACTATAACAAACATCCTTTTCAAGGTCTATTTAGTGTCACTTTTTTTTTGCATTTGTGTGTGTGCTTGTGTGTGTGTGTGATTTCACTGTCTGAAATGGCCCTCCAAGCATTGTGCTTAGGTGCTGTCTGGGGTTCCCATGGGCAAGAAGGCCAAGAAGTACTGTCTGGAGAAAATGTGTGAGGGATAAGCTTCATTCCGGCATGTGTTACAGTCTTTTTGGCCAGGACTCTGAGTTCACTGTTAATGAATCAACCACAGATATTAAATAAGAAATACACATAAAACAAGATTATGTATTAATCCACTGAGGAAAATATTATGAGTAGAGGTTCACAGGAACCTAACCCTGTATTTCCCCTAAGAGCAATTACTCAGTGTTCACTAACTCAGTAATCAAGGTGACTTTAGAGAACATCACTGCCGCAAATAACGGGAATCAGCGATACATCTACTAAATCCTACAAGTTTGGCTTCAAGATACCAAACTTACCTTCAAGCAGGCAAGTTAAGCTAAAATGATTTCAACAAACCCTGAAAAAATATCATCAAACCACTTCTGCGTTTTCACAGATTTTGCTGCTATGAAAGAAAAGTTCTGAGAAACAAAACATTAACTACTTTTCTACTTGTGGATTAAAATTATTCTCAAATGAGCAGGACTGAGATGATATGTTATAAAAGTTTTATTATGGAATAGTATAATAAACTTGCATGAACCTGCCTCCAGTATATAGCAACTATTAATACATACCCACTCTGGCTTTATCTGTGCTTCAAGCCCACCTCTCTATCAGGCCCACTCTTAATTTTTTTAAAGTAAATCCCAAATTAGGTATCATTTCACTGGTAAAAAATACATATCTGTTTCTATGAGATAAGCACTTTTTTGTAACACAACTATACGAGAAACAAGAACTCCTTAAAAGCATTTAATAACCACTTGGTATTCAGATTTCTCTGTCTCATAAATATCTTCATACAGCTGATTTCTTTGAATCAGGATCCAAATATGGTCCAAAACTGCATTGAATTTGTTTTTGTATCTTAAGACTCTTTTATTCTGTAATGCCCCTTCCCCATTTTCCGGCCAAGGATCTGGTCATTTTCCTGTCTCATTCCTCACATTCTTGGTTCTACTGCACGCAACCCCACGGTGCCTTTTAACATTCATATCACATTTCTATTTCATATAGACTGCTAGTTAGACCCAGAGCCTTGAATATATTCAAGTTGATTTGGGGTGAGGGAAGGGGACAAGAAGAGTTCACAGGTGAGAAGTATACTTCCTACTGTCTCCCTTTTGGTAAAGTTAGAATAAATCAATGGTTTCAAGTGTTATGAGTCTTATCTATAATAAATATAGTTTGCATTAACCTAATGCATAGACATAGATGACATTTCAACAATAACTGGCTGACAAAACTAATGCAACCAAAAGAAAAAACCTAACTAACAATTAATATTATAACATTTGGAGAATCTGAGTGAAACTGTATTTTTCTCATATCTGATCTTATTCTATATTTTTCCTTATTTATTTATTTATTTATTTATCTATCTATCTATCTATCTATCTATCTATTATTTTGAGACAGGGTCTTGCTCTGTCACCCAGGCTGGAATGTAGTGGCATGATCTCGGCTCACTGCAACCTCAACCTCCCAGGATCAAGCAATACTCCCACCTCAGCCTCCCAAGTACCTAGAACTACGAGCATATGGCCACATGGTCAGCTGATTTTTTACTTTTTTGTGGAGATGAGGTCCCACTATGTTGCCCAGGCTGGTCTCAAACTCAGGCTCAAGCAATCCTCCCACCTCAGCCACCCAAAGTGGTAAGATTACAGGCATGAGCTACCACGTCTAGCTGATTCCTACTCTAGGAATTGAAAACTACATATTCCATTTATTTTAACGTTTCATGGTGTACAAATACACATCAAGTCAGTATTAATGATGAGTTCTAGTTTTTTCATTTTGAGTCCTACTGCTATAAGTTTTCCTCTTTTTTTCTCTAAATAAGATAAGGTACGCATATGAAAAGTTTACATTTCTAGACAAAGAAAAGAAACAAACAGATTTTATGATTCAAATCTTTCAGTCTGTGAAAGATTTCTATTCCAGGCAAGACTTGAGTAGGTTTTGAATAAAAACAGAATGTTAGTTGAATGGGAATCGATAAGGCAGTTAAGGAAACACAAAATTGCGAGACTAGCGTGTTGAAGACTCCTACTGTTCCACCAACATTCTTTTTCCCCTGCTTTCATACTACAGTACTGTAGGACTTTGGTTTAAGAAAAAGATATTTATAAGTCTCCCTAGCTAAGTACCTAACTTCACATCAACACCAAGTAATTAGCTTTGGCTTCCAGGATCTTCCTAAAGACACAGGGAGAGGATTCCCCTTGGCTTTTCTTCTTCCTCCCTTCTCACATCCTGGTCCTGGGACATGAAGAACTAGATGGCCACATGTTATGTAAGCTACACAGTTCTTCACAGCATACTGGCTGATGTGTAAGCACAAGCATCCCATGAGAACAGGAAGTGGAAGCTGGCAGTTTCACAAGGCCAGGGCTGGAAACTGGCACAGCATCATTTCTAAGTAGTCTATAGGTCAAGCATTCACAGAGCACAGAATCAAGGAAATGGAACACTGATCCTTCCCCTCATTGCTCAAAGAGAAAAACGTCAAAGGATTTGGGGTCCAAGTCTTAAAACCAATACACCATGCCATATTTTTAAAACCCAATATGACTAAAATAGGGTTTAATTTTTACCATTACTCTAGGGTTAAAAATTCATTCACATTCTCACTATTTTCAGAAACTATATAATTATTATATCAAGATATGCTAACTCTGCTGATTAAAGCTACAATACGCTATATTTCTTAGTGTCTGATAATTAAAAATAACTAGGAACACTCACCTGAGGATTTTTAAGAACAGAGATACCAGAGTATATACAAATAGCAACCTAGCATCCAATTAGAAACATGATTCCATACACCAAACTCATGAAAGGTGTCCTAAAGAAGTATCCAAAGTGGTTCTGATAAATCAAGGAATTTCCAAGAACCACACTCCAGAAGCCTTTCATGACAGGATAAATTCAGGACCAAGTTTACGAAACCTTCACCAACATGAAAGTCTAGAAGGCATGTATCTCAGAAATCCTGTGAAATACCATCAGGTTCCATACTTTCTAGAAGCCTGCAGCAGTCACAGTTGGTTCTCTACCCAACTTTCTCCTCTAATAAAGATCCACTTCTGCTGGGTGGGGTGGCTTATGCCTGTAATCCCACCACTTTGGGAGGCTGAGGCGGGCAGATCACCTGATGTCGGGAGTTCGAGACCAGCCTGACCAACATGGATAAATCCTGTCTCTACTGAAAATACAAAATTAGCTGGGCGTGGTGGCACATGCCTGTAATCCCAGCTACTTAGGAGGCTGAGGCAGGAGAACCGTCTGAACTCAGGAGGCAGAGGTCACGGTGAGCCAAGATTGCACCACTGCACTCCAGACTGGGCAACAAGAGCAAAAAAGAAAAAAACCTCACTTATTTTTCACGTATTCTCCCACTTTTACACATTAAAGCACTGAGGAAACCAAGTAAAAAATTCTTAATTATATAAATATGCAGTAATAGAGTCTACATGAACATTAATTCCACTGTGGCCAATAAAGCAAATAAAAAAGAAGTGTGGCTGGGTGCAGTAGCTCACACCTACAACCCCAGCACTTTGGGAGGCTGAGGTGGGCTAATCACTTGAGGCCAGAAGTTCAAGGCCAGCCTGAGCAACACAGCAAAACCTCATCTCTACTAAAAATACAAAAATTAGCTGGACATGGTGGTGCTCGTCTGTAGTCCCAGCTACATGGGAGGCTGAGTTGGGAGGTTCACTTGACTCTGGGAGGTGGAGGCTGCAGTGAACCACGATTGCACCACTGCACTCCAGCATGGGCAATAGAGTGAGACCCTGTCTCAAAATAAATGAATACACAAATGTAAGAAATGCATAAAAGCAGCCACTTTATAAGTGTTCCTTGGGAGAGACTTACCTTGGTGCTTCCTCCACCACCTTCTGATTTCTTCTCTGAATTGAGCACTCTCTTTCATTAAGCCACAAAGCATTCCCATGTTTATCACCTAGAACCTGGAAAAGCAATATCATTTGAAAAGCCATATAGCCACACCCACAAAGTAGATGATGGTTGATGTTTTCCCCATGCAACATCTCTTGGTTTTTAATATTCAAACCTCATGGAATATACATACCTCTCAAAACATTCTTTTGATTCATGTTAACATAGGAAAAGTACATTACTCTAAAGCTCGATGAAACATTTTTATCACAGAGATTTGAGGAAAAAGTGTTCGTATGACCTTTCAAATACTGTGAGTAAAACATCAGAATCAGTTGTACAAGTTTTGTGAAGGACACTGAGTGTTAGCGAAGGGGATAAACGCTAGATGTCGGTGTTGCTGAGAAGTGCCACCACAGCTTTATTACAAACATCTGCTTGATGTTACCATTATTAAATGTCTGTTGATTGGGAAATGACATAGTATGCATTTACATCCAATATGTAGTATGTTAATTATATATGGATGTCTTTACTGTGGTTTATTTTTGTTATAGGAAACTGGTAAAAGGTTTAGAGTTAATATACAACACATTATAATTTTTCCCATTGTGATATTTATTGAACATCTCTAACGTGAAAATCAGAAATCCAAAATGCTCCAAAAGCTGAAAATTTTTCACATGACTTTCAAAAAAAACCTCACTGAAACGTGAATTTTCAGATTAGGGATACTCAACCAGCAGGTATAAATGCAAATATTCCAAAACCCCAAAAAATCTGAAATCTGAAACACTTCTGATCCAAAGTACTTCAAATAGGAGATACATTCAACCTGTAATGGAAAAAGTTGAGATTGCCAGATAAAATACAAGATATCCAGCTAAATTTAAATTTCAGATAAACAATGAATAACTTTTTTCTAGCTATGTCCCAAGCACTACATGGAACAATGATTTAAAAAATCATTGTTGATCTGAAATTCAAATTTAACATGTATCTTTTTCAGCTAAATCTGGAAACTCAAAAAACAGATATTCATTACAGTTTTTCCCTAGAACATCTGATTTTTGCAAATGGACCAATCTATTTTCAGAATTGAGATGATCTATATTTCTGAATACATATATTAGGTTCAAGAGGTAAGATCTGTTTTAGAAGCCAAAAGACCAGGCACTAATTTTAGTTCCAAACAGCTATGCAACTTCTCTGGACAAGTCATTCTGTTTCTTCATGCATTATAAACAGCAGATTATATCAATCTTAATATTTTACATGGCTGCTGAAAAACATCAAATAAATAAAGATCATGGTTATAATTGGTAAACTATAAAATAAATAGTTAATATATGACTGTAAAGTTAATTTTTAGGAAGAACCCTTTCTGAAACTCAAGAATGATTCCAAGCAATGAAGGAAAACAGAACAGCAATAAAATGCCAATAAGCTTGAATTTTCTTTCTAAGACTCAAAAGTGGCTGCATGAAGTAAATCTAAAAATATTTGAAATCATTAAAATAACCCTCAACCTCTTTTTAAATTCTAGTTGACAAGAAAGTAAAAGCAGACAGTCTCCAAGAAATAAAGCCAAAATAACCATGACTTCTCAGAAATATTTCCAACTATAAAATATCAGATTCATATACAGAATCAAGAGTTTGTTCTTCTCTAAATTCTGTATACTCTCCCACTTCATTTTTTTAAAATTCTGTGCATTTACTAGGCATTCAATAAAAAAGATTTGGTGATTATTTCATTAAATAAATGTGGAAGTTATGTAACTAGAAGACATTACTGTGTAAGTAAATAGTGCTTTAAGGGAAGTTAACCCTTAAATGTACCATGAGTTGTTTTTAAAACTTTATAGGTTTACATACTGAATGTGGAAAAATCTCTAAGCTATGCTGCTTCCTGAAATATGATAATAGACTATGCCACATAGTTCAAGCCTACTGGCATCCCTAGACCCATCCCAGGAAATGCCAGTAGTGCCCTGGCTGGGAAATACTGGTTTACACCACATAGAGTGGTGCCATTCACACTGCCAGTGCAGTTTCAGTATGGAAAGGACACAGTATATAATGGCTCATGTGAAAAACAATAGGTGACATACACATACATACTTCATAGACTATGTATGGAGGAATAGCCAAGCAACTGTAACGGTGCCTGCATTTAGGGACAGAAACTAGAGGACTTAGAGAGAGGGTAAAAGGGATGCTTACTTTTATTGACTACCCTTTACCATGTGCAGAAATTACCTAATACAAATAAATAAGTGAAAACTAAAGAAAAGTAAGCTAAAAACCCTTCCAAGTATGGATCAAATACAAGAACATCTGTGTTGCCTATTTAAGCTACTGGGAGGCATTTTCACCTATGTTTAAAAATATCACCCAGGCTGTATGCCATGGCTAAATAAACTAAAAAGCTGATGCAGATATGTAATTATTTAATACAAAATAACAAACATTTATTGAGTATTAGTAATATGAAAGACAATAGCCTGGTTGCTGGGGACAGCAAATGAGTAAGACCTACTCTCTACCTTCAAAGACCTCACGGCCTATTAGGAAATTCAACTAGCTAAAGATAAAACAGCCTACCTAAGTGGTCTTCCAGTAGTGTGAACAAGTGACAGATAGGGAATATAGTGAAGGACAAAATTAATTCTTCCCCTAGGATCTTACAAGAAGGACAATCTAAGTATCTCTGCTAAATTACAGATGTAAATAGCCAACTGTCTACTCAACATCTACACTTCGATATCTAATGGGCATTTCAACCTTGATTTGTCCAACTTTATAACCTGATTTCCTCTCTCAAAAACATGCACCTCTCACAGTCTTTCCTATCTCAGTAAAAGCCCATTCCATTCTGCTCATTCCTCAGGCCAAAACCCTAAAATCACCTTATTTTTTTTTTTCTTAAACATAACATCCATCTACTAGAAAATCTGATATACCTTCACAAAATATCTAGAATCCAATCATATCTCACTACCTCCACTGCCAACCCTATGGCCCAGGCCACCATCATTTTCTCAGCAAAATTACAACTGCAAGAACCTCCAAAGGTATCGCTCAGCTTTCATGCTGGCTTTCAATTGCAAAGACTCAATGACTACCACGTGCCTCCCTTTCTTAACTGTGTTGAATAGGGATATTCATTGGCGTGTCATATACTTTTCTCATCATTGTATGTTGGATGAATGAATACCAGACTGTCTTTAAATTCAGGTCTTTACACCAGAAGAACTGCTCTTGAAGGACCATACATAAGAAGTCTCAGGCCAGGTGTGGTGGCTCATGCCTGTAATCCCAGCACTTTAAAAGGCCAAGGTGGGTGGATCATGTGAGGTCAGGAGTTCGAGACCAACCTGGCCAACATGATGAAACCCTGCCTCTATTAAAAATACAAAAATTAGCCAGGTGTGGTGGCACATGTCTGTAATCCCAGCAACTCAGGAGACTGAGGCAGGAGAATCGCTTGAACCTGAGAGGCAGAGGCTGCAGTGAGCCAGTATCACACCACTGCACTCCAGCCTGGGTGACAGAGTGAGATTCCGTTAAAAAAAAAAAAAAAAAAAAAAAAAGTCTCATCCAGACCTGGCCCAAGTTAGAAAGGAAGCTGTATGTATTCTGTTTATGGGAGGGCATGATCACTGAGGGCCAAAGAGTGGGTTGTGGTAGGTAGTCTCCAAAGAAGACCCCACATCCAACGAAAATCCTGGTAGTTCCACCCTAATATAATCCCATCCAGTAACGATTTTAGACTGGGAAGGAACTTTGCAAATGCAGCAAAACTCATTCTGTGCCAGCTCTGAGCCTAAACCTTCATAAGGTAGGACAGTGATTTCAAGCAGCTCTGACCAGTGACAAGAATTCTGGATATTCTTTTAGAAATGCTACATGGAGAAGACATGTGGAGATGCCCCAAGACTTCACAGAGAAAAAGACAAAGGCCCTGCTGTCCACCAAAGTGTCTCAGCTGAGCTCAGGCTTTACACCAACCCTCCAGGGAACCTAACACAGGACATTCTAAACCAGTCAAGTCCCAGTATAATGTCTGCCCCAGAGAACAACACGTGATGGAAAAGCAAGAGCCAGCTGAACCCAAGCAACCCACAGAATCATGAGGGATTGTTAAATGTTGTGCTGTGCTTTGTGGGAAAACATACCATAACATAAAATTAACCATTTTAACCATTTTTAAGTGCATAGTTCAATGATCTTAAGTATATTCAAATTCTTGTGTAGCCTTAAATGTTGTTTTAAATCACCACATTCTGAGGTGGTTTGTCACTCAGCAAAAGATATTCAAAATACACAAAACAAGCAAGTGGACTTACCAAAGACACTGGATTCAAAATAACATTTATAATAGAAAGTAACATTTATAACAGTATCTAAAATTATCAAATATCTAAGAATAAATCTAATGAAAGATACACAAAACCTCTGCACTCAAAACGACAAAACAGTGCTGAAAGGAATTAAACAAGACCTAAATAATTGAAGAGATATTCCAGTTCATGGATCCATGAAAATTCAACATTGCAAGCTGGGCATGGTGGCTCATGCCTATAATCCCAGCACTTTGGAAGGCCGAGGCAGGCAGATCACTTGAGACCAGGAGTTTGAGATGAGTTTGGGCAACAAGGCAAAACCCCATTTCTACAAAACATAGCCAGGTGTGGTAGCACATGCCTACAGTCCCAGCTACCGGGGAGGCTGAGATGGAAGGACTGATTGAGCCTGAGAGGCCAAGTCTGTAGTGAGCCATGATTATGCCACTGCACTCTAGTCTGGGAGACAGAGTAAAACCCTGTCTCAAAAAAAAAAAAAAAAAAGAAAGAAAGAAAGAAAAAGAAAATTCAACGTTGTTAAGATGTCAATTCTCCCCAGAATAATCTCTAGATTCAATATGACCCAAATCCAAATCTCCCATCAGATGGGGTGGGTGGAAGTGGAGGTGAGGGTGGGAATGGGTGGGGTGGGCTTAGGTGTCTCTAGGGGGAACAGGTTGACAGGCAAGGTCTAAAATTTTCACGGAAATTCAAAGAACCTAAAAAGAATCAAAACTATCCGAAGAAAAACAACACATTTAGACCACATACAGTATCAGGCTTCTAGATTTATTATAAAAGCAAAACAGTTAAGATAATGACTAAATCTCAGATATTTGCAACAAATGGTCATTGCAGCAAATGATGCCGGAAAAAGTAGATATCAGAATAAAAAAAATTTTCTCTGAGTCTGCCTCACACCAAACACATAAAATAATAGTAATTAATTTAAATATCATACCTAAAACAAAAAAAACTCCTAACTAGGGTACACAAAGTAGACTTAAACTCGATCTTACTATAATTTAGAACCTCTGTTCTTTCAAAGCCATTATTATTAAAGTGAATAGGCAAGCCACAGGAAGGGAGAAGGACACCCTATACATACATATGACAAACGACTCATAAGCAAAATAGATACAGAACTCTGATATGCCAACAATTTTTAAAAATCTAATTTGAAAAAGGAGGGAAAGGATGACAGTTTGAGAAATCAATTCATAAAATAAGACATTCAAATGGTCAATAAACTTATGAATACATGCTTAACATCATTACTTATCAGGGTAATGATGTATTTTATATAAATGTAAAGTATCTCAATTTAGAAAATATTAGAAGGCAAAAACAAAGCCTGTTAGCCTCAGAAAAATTGTGTTCGTTGTTTTAAAACATCCAACTGATTATATAAGTTAGCATATTTTTTCTCCCTTTAGAAAATGTGAGGCTCTATGTGATGATTTTTTTACCCATAAATAATATCTATGTAAAGTGACCATTAAACTTAAAAAACAAACTGACAGAATCGAGGACATTTTATAACATGCACATCAGAAAAGACAAGGTCAGCAAATAACGTTTTATTTAACTGGTTCTCTCTCCACACCAAATTAAGATTAAAAATATACTTAAAATTGATTATTTCTAATTTGACATTTGTTTTTTATCAATTTTAGCTATTACAGATCAATTCATAGTCATAAATTATAAAATTAGCATGAAGGTATTTTCAACAGGCAAATAAAAACTTCAGCATACTTGTCTTCCACGTTTTATTTTAGAAAACCCATTGTGTTTTGCCAAAACCTGTGCCCCTACAACCACTTTAAGGATTATATTAATCTGAATAGAAGAAATGATTTATGCATCTCTATACAACCAGCTCCTAGAAGAACACCTGTCACAGCTACACGGCCATTTGGTAAACTGATGTAGCACAGGAGTCCAGGTCAGGTATTTTTCTTTTTAAAAAATGCCCTATAATGGCTCAGTCTTGGAAGAAGGTCAGCCTGGTCAGCTATCCTGAGAATGCTTTTTTTGGAGGTAGATTTTCGTATCTTTCCCAATCCCAACCAACATCCTAGCACTTTAGCAGAAAGTATAACAGATTCCAAATGCAGGTAATGGATTTATTTTGTACATGTCAAAACAATTCACAATCATTCTAAATGGAAGAAAACATAATTCCAATAGGATTAAATGATATTATTTTTAAGTCATAGTAATGAAAAAGCATCTTAAATGTACCAACCTGGATTTCTATGTGACGAGGATTATCAATAAATTTTTCTATTAGTAGTCTATCATCGCCAAAACTAGAAGCAGCTTCTTGAGATGACAATCTAAAACCATCCCTGGGGGGGTGGGGGGGGAGGAAGAACAGTCAGAATAACAAAACAAATAGAACTATCATTACAAAAGAAAACAAAATCAATTAAATATTTATTTTGGCTTACTTCTAAACAAGGCAAAAACATTCACTCAATATACAAATAACTTAGTTAATTTTGGTTAACCTGGAACTTTTCTGCTCACTAACTCTATGACCACGGATGAGTTACTTAACTTTGAAGATTCTAGATTTTCTATTGAAATAGGAAT